TTGGCTGAGTATGGTATTAAGTTACAAGATTATTTAAAATTATGTGAAGATAATAAACAAATTCGAACAGATACTAATTATGGTTTATCTGAATTAGCAGAAACATTGTTTAAAAGTGAACGTTATCATGAATATGTATCATATGATGAAAAAACAGTAGTGAGACCAAAAGTAATATCAATGTCATGCAATTCATCTGATACTAGTAAGTATAAAAGTTTTATCGGGGATTTTAAAATTGTAAACATTTCTATGTCGTGTATGTTTAGCCGTACATGTATTTTCAACAAATCAAGCAAATCATCTGAAGCGAAAACTATTAGATGATAAAGCGATTCCATCTCCAAGTTCAGAACCCAAAAAAAAAATAAGACAATCAAGAAGAACAAGAATATAGAACTCATTTGCCATTCACAGATTTAGTCTCTTTTTTGTCAGTACTTTCGTCTTCCTCTAGTACATCATTTTATTTTATTATATTAAATTTAAATGAAATCGATACGAGAGACATGTTTAAATTCATTCAGTCAAGATTTTTAGGAATATTGTTTTCTCTTATTATCTATATCTTTTCTTTCTCATATCTAACTTCGCTTTATTCAAGATTATTTATTCATATATTTTATTTACTACCGCTAATTTTATGTGTGTCTGTGTCGTTTACTCCAGTATTGATTTTGATTAATACACAATTTTGCCTCTTCGCGTGAAGATGCACATTTTTTTGTTTCCAGAAACTACAGTTTTATCTATATTTTTCTAAAAATATGAATAACAAAACATGTGTTTTTATCTTTGTTTTGTACACAACTCAAAAAGAGAAAAAGATTACAATAAAAGTAAATGAATTAATAATAATGAATAAAATATTAGTTTAAGCTATATTTGTTGAGCCGGGGGAAAAAGTACAAAAAAGAAAGTGACAGGAGCCCATGATATTACTTTTGTATACGTGTAAAAGTTCGAAGATTTACTCAGAAATTTGAAAAGTCTAACAAACGAGAGAAAAACAGAGAGCTATATTCAGACTTTTGAACCTTTTATTTCACAGCTGAGTTAGACTTCCAGATGATTTCAGTCTGATGATGAATTGGAGTAATAGCTTTTCTAGCCGTTGTATCAAATAATGAGCTGTATTGTTCCAAAACGGATGCAACCGTGGAGTTTTTGATAGAATCAGTAAGATGATCGGTAAGAGCTTTGATAACCTCTCTTGATTGTGCACTCATGTTGGGTGCTTTTTCCGAGCCATCACTTGCATTTTTCGTTCTTGTTTTGTGTTGTAGCTTGAAAACATATGTTTTCATGGACAATCTTGACATTGTACCGATTTTCATGTTTTGTTGTAACGTCACCGGGTGTTTTGATGTGTTAACTACGTTCAACTTCGTTATGTTGTTATTGACGGTCACCAGTCCATCTTCTACTGTTATGCCTTTCTGTTGTTGAATATGGTGGTGCAGAGCTTGAAAATAGAGGTGACTTGCATTTATTATCGAAGGTTTAACTTATACAATACAGTTGACACCAGGTAAAATATAATATTGTTGGACCAGTTTGACATCGATCTCTGCATCTTCTAAAGTATCTGTGGTAAAAATTTGAGCTTGATCGGACCATTTGGTTTGGGAGGGGTCGTAATGTGTGCCAAAGAAATAAAAAACAGAGTTTTGTAGAAAACCCATAGAAGAACATGTCACAAAATTCTGAGCAAAAATACATCAATTTTCTTTTTCGATGTTCTATCTCTGCTATAAATTTGAGCTCAATCGGCCATGTGCTCCGCATTTGGCAACAAGGTGAAAACAGAGGGGTGGAGGCTACCCTCAATTCAGTTTTAAAAAAGGAAATAAAGCAGGCTATGTCAGGATTGTAAATCCTTCCATAAGTACAGTCGTTGTCATATTCTCGACGCCATGCCTTTTCCTCTCACAAAGTTCATACTTTTCCAAGAATATTCTAAGTATTTCTTTTGCAGATGACGTATCTTTGCAGAATAGGCTTTACCTTCCTCTTGTTCTATGTCCGAACATCTTTCAAGTTCTAGTTCTCTTTTTAAACTGAATATGCAGCGTGTGTTTTATCATTTATTATTAGTATTAGTTGTTATACAGTTAGTAAGATTTGAAATAAAGGTAGGAACATAGTATAGGAGTTATATATATGTGGATATATGGGGTTATAACAATTGGTACACTAGCCGGCTTACTGTCAATCCAAGTAGTAAAAGTGAATCAGATGACGACAAAGCTACGAGCGATGGTGGTTGATACGTTATCAGATAATGTTATATGAGGGATGGATGGAATAAATTATTATAATGTCCACATTATCCGTGGGAAAAAAAAATTAAAACTCATTATCGTCGTTCACAAACAATTATTCCATTCGAAGACGATACAGCAATTGATTCTTCGATTCGGTTCGATTGATGTTAGATTGATGTTAGATTGGCAGAAAGATATTCAATCTTACCTGGTATCATTTCTGCAAATATTCGATGGTATAATATACATTAAAAATGTCCACGTATACGGGATTTCATATAAAAAATATAATAAAACTCTAACTTTTACAGCATTGTGTCTTTTTGGTTTTAAACAATCGTATACATGTGTTTCGTAAATATATGACGGTAAATACAATAATATATAAACTAACGGTGGTATTATGAAAGTTTGATGCTTCAACATTTGTTGTACCATGCCTAAACAATAATCATGTCGTTGATTAATGTATAGATGATGTTTCGTTATGTGATATATAACAGAGATGATTGCTATGATAGCTGCTCTTCAACAATCGTACAGTCAGATGAAGAATTGGGTGGAATCGATTATTCGTACGACAACTACGATTATGATTACTATGACAGCGACTGATAACTAAAAGCGTCTGAATCAAATTAATTATAAACTGGAACTGCTTGAAGAGAAGAGCTACTCCTATTTACGCAAAATGCAATTTCAATAATTACACAGTGTTGTTTCAAAATCAAATTATTGTGTTTTTGAAAGTTATTTCAAATATATACCCAAGCGTCTATTTATCATCCGATAATCGATCGATTTAAAGCGGCTGACAATTAAGGTAGCTCGACACTGGAGTTGATGGTTTACCCTAGCAAACTTCACCTATGAGAAAAATCTAGATACGTTTCGCTTGTAATCGGGCGATACACGACTAGTTGTCATCTATTAATAGATTACTAGTTGGAAAAGAGACTTTTAACTAGATG